TTCTTTCCCTTAACCTATGAATAACTGCAATTTCCTCTCAATCTCTCTTTTTCTCAAAACAGGTCTACTTCTGGATTTCTTCTCTCACCTCTTTAATCCTAAATTCAATGTAAATCAGCTCTTACAGTCATGGTCTCTTGAAATAGCTCTCAAATATATCCACAATCAGTGGCTGGCATCCAAATACAGTGAGCAATTGGGGGGGGTGGGAGTGCATAGATAGGACCTTACTTTGCATCCGTTCACTCTCTTCTCTTAACTCATCTTCTAACTACAAGCCCGCCCTGAGTCTCCTCCTCCTCTTGGACAGCTCAGACTTTCTATCCTTCAGGAATTCTTGTTTCTTAAGCTTTAGGCATCCAGCCCTCTGAAACCAGTCCCTGCTCCACAACTCTTTTTATGCACCAGAAATTTTCTATTCCACCACACTGTTTCTAATTTTTAGTCCTTCAGATCGGCTCTTCCCTCTACAGAGAGAACATTCTCCCTTTGGGACCATCTCTTCAGCTTCCTTTTCACAGACTGGCTTAGATCTAACTAACCGAAGCTTCCGAAACCCTTGGCACATCCCTCTACCCTTTCCTGGAAGGTGAATCCATGCCTACAAGTCTGTCATTCTCTCTGGGCTGTCAGCAACTCCAAATCAGCGCTCTCCGACTCTTCCCGAGAATCCTTCTCCGGGCCTGCCACAGAAAGGGTGTTCAACATGGTTGGAGAAACGGAGGGTAAGCGGCATCAAATTGTTTTCGTAAAAGCAGGATGGGAGAGGGAGGAAGGGCCCACTGGCATAGCTACTCACCGATGAGGACTGCACTGTCCAGGTTTCGAAGCTGGGCCAAGAGCTGCCCCCGCGCCTGGAAGATCGGCAGACTCCGGCGCTGCAGCTCCAAGGCCTCACGGTAGGGACTGGCTGAAGGCTGGGCCAGGGGCGGCTGCGGCTTCCGACCTCCTCCTCCTCCTCCGCTGCCTCCTCTGCCGCCGCCGCCCGCCGTCAGCAGCATTACTACTCGCCTGCCCGGAGGACAGGACTCGGCACGGCTCGGAGGTCCTGAGCCGAGTCGGAACCTCTTGGCCGGAGGAAAGCGCGCCTCCTCCGGCATGTCGGGAGAGCGCCACGGCGGGAGACTTCAGCGCTAGCAGCCGCCACCGCTCACAGGTGCGGAGGGCACGCGCGAACAGCCCCTTTCTCACCACGCGCTGGCTTTCTGGGCCACCATTGATGACCTCAAGGCTGCCCCTCCACCCGGCTCTTAAGGGAGGGACTACAATTCCCAGCATGCATTGAGGGATTAAGGCTTTCACTTCCTAGGGGCGAGGAGAGCAGGCTGTAGGGTACAACCGCAAAATTTTCCTGAGCAGCAACAGGGAAGGTATGGCGTGAGGTTCCGTAGAACGTTGATCCGGGTTGAAGCTGTTCTTTTTGTTGTCTTGTTTTGTTCTGGTAATACTATTTCTGGCTGCAGTATTCCCCACATTTCAAGGAAACTACAAAATTCGGTAAAATTGGGCCGGGGAGATGGCTCAGTGGAATAAGCGCTTCTCTGGGAAGCACAAGGGCCTGAATTCAATCCCCGGCTCCTCAAAAAAAAAAAAGAAGAAAAAAAAAATCGGTAAAATTAATGAAGAAGGCATTATTAATCTTCTAAACAAGTTAAGTGGAAGATGCTGATATTATCCCCAAGTTACAAATTAAGAAACAGTTTTCTGTGATTAAGTTCATTCAGCTATTACAGAATCTTAATTTTGCAAAGAATACTGGTGGTTATCTTGTGTTATAGAAGAGGAAAGTAAAGTCTATGGTTCTATTTGATTTTATGACAATTACGTGTTTTCCTCAGACACTGACAGTGGCTGTGATGTGTTCTAGTAATACAAGTGGAGAAAGAGGATTTCATGGAAATAAGACAGTCTTTAAACCTTTCCATCCAATCATGGACTACATTTTTTTTCCCCTCCTGAGCCTGATGTTTGCTCCTAAAGCCTCTTATTGAGCTACATTCCAGCCATTTCATGTATGTATGTACGCATGCATGCATGCATGTATGTGTGTATTCCTTGAGATGGAATCTCACTAAATTTCCCAGGCAGGATTCCAACTTTCTATCCTTCTGCCTCAGCTTCCTGAATAGCTGGGATTACAAGTGTGCACCGCCACTCCCAACTAAAACCTTCATTAGCCACAGAGCACTTGACGGCAACAAAATAGTCCATTTTGGCTGCTGTCACGATCCTGCTGTGTACTGCCTCACTCCATTTTGAAATCTCCAGATTATCCTCCAAACTTGACTCTTTCTCTATATGAAGAGAAAGAAACTAGAGCAGGATGTCACCTATGGTGTGATGGTTGTAACGGTAACTATAGAAGGGCATGCTTTCCAGCAATAAGGATCAAACTAGAGATAAACAACTACATCGGTGGACTTTAAAAACATGTAGAAAAAAGAAAACAAATGACTGAGCTAGATTAATATATGACTTTTTTTTTTTTTTTTGAAATGTCTTCACAGTGAACTACATCTCAGTCCTTTGAGACAGGTTCTTGTTAAACTACCCAAACAGGCCTCAAATTTGTAATCTTCCTGCTTGGATGATACTGAGCAATTTGATCTGAAGATATTTAAAGGCTTATACTAAGTCTGGTGTGGTGGTGCACGCCTGTAATCCCAGCACTAGGGAGGCTGAGGCAGGAAGATTGTTGGGAGTTCGAGACCAGCCTGGGCTACAAAGTGAGCTCAAGGCCTCCCTGAACAGCATAAGGAGACCCTGTCTCAAAAAGACAAAAAAAAGAGGGAGATAGAGTGGCGGTCTGAGCACCTGCCTGGCAAGCACAAGGACAAAGGTTCTATCCCCAGTACCACCCTGGGTGTGCCATATGGGCCACTGAGACCGGGTGTTGTGGCACATGCCTGCAATTCCAGCACTGGGGAGGTTGAGACAGGAGGATCACTAAATCTGAGCTGCTTAGTGAGACTCTATACCAAATAGATAGTAATAATGATGATGATGATAATAAAAGGTTAAATAAATAAAGGCCTAGAATCTGCCTCCAGATCCAGGTTTCCCTGACTTTACCTTTTCTCTCTTCCAATGCAGTTCTGCAAAGTTCATTTATCTGCCCAAAGACCAGACCTGCCAAAGAACAATTACCTCAAGACCTTTGAGCTTTCATCAGCAGAACTTGTATCACAGGATGAAAGACTGTTGTCTGTTAACACAGCTGGACAGAGTTACTCACCCAACAGTTCTACTTTGGCTCCACAGAGAGTCATTAACAGACCATCATTTGTTCTGAGCCAGACTCTGTCCTAGGTTACTGTAGGTCCTCAAGCCCAAGTTCTCCTAAAAGATCATTTATTATTTTCTTGAAATTCTTCCTTTTTAAAAAAATCTCATTTCCTATGCAAAAAGGGTACAGGGCACATGCC